TTCCATCATAGTATTGCTTCAGGTTTCAAGAGAGAGATGTTACAATTAATTAATTAGCATAGCAAAAATCCCTGCAACATAACCAAAATTCTAAGCCAGGCCTCTTCGCTAGCTTTGCTGCTTCCTGCATCTGGGCATGTGACTCACTCACATCACTTAAGGCACTCCTATTCGGTATAGAACAGAACAGGCCGAGAACTTTGAAAGCTGAATAAGGTCACAGTCACTGAAAAATTTGAAACATCTCCTTGCCATTCAGCCAGCTGACCACTAGCTGTCCCCATTGCTTCACAGGAGTAAAGGATCGGTGTCGGAACTGGAACGAAACATGCCTCCAAAAATGAGTGCTGCTACTCTTAGCGAGGGGGGGGGGGGAAGTGAAAGCTCAGAAAAATTAAAACGAGCTGCTACAGTTCTGTAAGTCTGTAGATAAGAAAATGGATACGTAGGAGAAGGCCTACATCCCAGGACAGTGATGGGGTTACAATCTGAGACAGATCAGCATGGGAAGCTTAGGATACAATCTTAGCAGATCTACGGCTTTATGACACGACAAAGGAAAGCCCTGGAGACCCGTTCATGTAGCAGACCAGGAACAATCAAAGTTGACTGGAGCATTCCAATGTTCCTGCCTAGTCTCTGACCACAGCCATCACATCATCATCTGCAGGATCTGATAAAACCACCTTAAGAGATGTTTTCCCAACCAGCATCTATGGTGGACACTACTTCCTAACCTCAGAATATAGAAATTATTCAAATTTAGAACTGGAAAAATGTATATCAGAGAGGCCATAAGGTGAAGGTGTTTTAGGCTCATCTCAAAACCATAAAGTTCTTTCCTCTCTTGAGAATTCAGGACAATTTCTCATTTCCATTCATCTTTTGGCTTCTCAACATAAGCCCAGAACACAGAATTGTCACTATATTTGTTAGATCTACAAGATTTTGGACTTGGTCTTTTCACAAATCAACTTGGAGAAATCTGGTTTCATATTGATAATGGTTGGGATTTATTATCACATAACAGATGCTATTAAGAAGGCAGAATAATATTTTGCAAGGCAATTAATTCCACCTTAATTGCTTTTTCAGCCTTAATGTGGCTACTCACAAAAGAATGATGAAAGGCTGCATATGCCTAATAAAATTTATGTTATGAATTTGGATGCTATTTATTGCTTTTTGTTCAGCCTTTGTAAATCAGACCCATTATCTGCTCTATAATATTTGCTTATAAAAAAATCAAAGACAAGGCAATGTCATTTCTAACGTGCCAGGCCTCCAGTACACCCCCCTAGCCAGTGAAACTGCTAATACATCATACAAGGGCAGTTGTCACTCAAGTCAGCTATTTAGATCAGAATCTACCCTTTTTCCTTGCTACATTACAGTCAAGCAAAGATAGGAAGGGTAGTAAAGGTTGAGAATACTATATCCTTCAAAATATAGTTATAAGGAAAACATACTCAGGAAAGAGAGATTCCTGCTTTGTTACTTTAAGCTTCTGCTCTGGAAGGACCTCTCTTCTACTCGGCAACTGTCATTCCTGCACATCAAAGCATAATGCACTAAACCAAAACGTCTGCAGAGAGCTTTATTCAGAACAGCAAAATGAAATTCAGAATTGTCAGTGCAGGATTATTAGCAAAACAACATAAGAAGCAAAATGCGAGTTCTAAATTCACCAAGTTGGAGAGGAAGAGTTCAGAATTCAAAATATATTGGCAATTTTCTCTAAAATGGGCTAAAATCCTGATCCAAAACTCCTCTCAGTTTGAAATCTACAATTTAGTTCCAAATTCTGAACTTTGCTGTATGTAGTATCAATGTATGCAAAAATGTCAGGCATCTCATGTGCCACTAGCTACCTACTGAATACCTGTGGGAAGTGAACTGTGGTTTTTTTTCACAGATGAATGCACTGTATTAGTGCCTTCTAACAGACTTTAAGCTTTATTGACCAAAATAAGTAGCTCCAAATACTGTACACATATTATACTGTGTACAGATACTTTACAGATGTAGCAACTGACTGGAGAAACTTCTGACTTTTTTTTCCCAGAAGAAGCTTTGACTGAAGACTAGCATATTTATACAGGACTGGGTATACATATAGACTGATCTCCTCAAGATGACACCTGTTACTAATACATGTTCTTGCTAGAAAGTATGAAAAGCAACTCAAATCCAAATCCCTTTATACCTTGTGTTTGAGAACCTATGAAAACATTTAGTTTGAAATGAACCATATCAGCATGTGATTATTCACATACCCCCAGCAGTTAAAAAACATCTAAGTCTAAAGACTGGTTCAACTAATAGGTTAGATTCAAATGATATAAATTAAAAAAACTTGGACTAACTGAAAACTAAATACAGCTTGCTGAAATCAGACCAACTTAGGGTACTTGGGAATCCAAAGGAAGCAGTTTCCCGCTTAGTGGTCACAGCATGTGGCCAGAGGAGTAAAGTATCGTCAGTTTAACGATCATATATTGTAAAGTACTTTCTTTAAGCAGTATGGAACAAGGAAAACAGTCTCCATCCATGTCAATATATACACATATTAGTTGAAAGCATCAAAAGGTATTGTTATTCACAATTACTAATTTCTTCTAATAAACATGAATAAACACTATTTTACTACTTTCGTAGCTTCATGAACCAAATCATACCATTATGAAAAAATGGATCAAAATGTTTCTCGTGTAACAGCGTTGCACTAGGATAAAGAATGAATGCGTGACTGTAGTCTGGTGTATCCAACATTCCTGAACACCGAAGAAGGGCAGATCAAGATCCAAACCGTGCAGTGAGACCCAGCCCTTCTGCAGCGTTTTGTGCTGTTGGTATTTAGGTAGCTAAGGCCTGCAGGAAAAGTTTTGTCGCATGAACATCTTCCAGACAGCTGGAGGGCTACAACTAATGCTACTGTAAATGAGCAAATGCTGCTTCTTCCTCCAGCTGATTTATTGGTACACCTGCATTCAGGAGAGGTATAGAAATGCTTAAAAGGACGAGTCTTCAAGAGTTTTGAAGAGGAGGAAAGGAAATAGAAATCAAGTTACAACAAAAAGCTGTAAAGAATCTTTCTTTGTAACTATTTCAATACAGTCTGAACTTGAGAGCTACCAAGCAACCACACCGCTACAGGTGATTGAGAAAGGGAGTGAAACACTCCGGTAAAAAAAAAAAAAAAAGGTATCTATAGATCATGCTACATTTAAATCCCATTGCATTGGTAACTACAGACACAGGCTGTCTAGAGACACCTAATGCTTTATTAGACGAATATGATTTCTTTTGCTGAAATAGGACAATTAAGGTGTTCAGATACATGATGTACTGATCATTGACTTCCCTAGATTTGAGGAGTCTATACTATTTTGAATGGCCAGCTGTCACAGATGTGTAAATTGCAACTGAATAAGCTCACATATGCAAGCAGAAGAAACAGTTTCTGCCAGCTTCCCTCCACCCCATGATTTTTAAAATACCTTTCAACAATTACGCCAGCAAAACATCATCCTCCAAAAAATCACAAGAAACAACATGCAAAAAAGCGCAAGTTTTACCAAAGTGCACAGTACGAAAACCTTAAATACTCAGAGAGGGTAGCCTGTGCTTCTCCACATAGCCCTGAAATTAACAGTCAAAAAAGGTTTTTTCCACAACTACAGCTACAAACCATCTTGTGAATACAGCCTAAGGACACCATTCTCTCACAAAAGGGAACAACGGTGTTATCAGGTGTGCGAAGTGATTCTTTCCTCCTGAGAACCAGAAGGAGGAACCTGTAAGTTTAAATGGTGCTTAAGCGTAAAAGACCCTCAAAGAAAAAATACACCTCTGAACAAAGAAAAAACTCATTATACTTTGCACCTGTTTAAGAAAAAAGTCCTTTTAACAAGTTGGTTCATTAATAAAGGTGCAATTAAGTATCACATCATTAAAGGAACAGGAATGAAAACAGAGTAAATTCTCATTAAGAGACAATGCTAAGGTATCTATCTCATTAAAAAAAAAGAAATCAACACTTTCTCTCCTCGCTCCTGCTTATAGATAATCTCATAGGAATTTGTTACTTACATAGGATTGCTCCTGGAAGTTAGGAAACAGCGGGTTTTGAGCTAAAAAGCTAGAATTTGTTCCCATATTTCTAAGAAAAGGTGTTACTTATTGTGAACAAGCACAGCAATGAGAACAGAAAAACCTTTAGGGAAAACTACCACTCATTTCAATATCACAAACAGGACACAAGCATAGGGAAAGTGACAAATTTTGCATTCTCTCAATAACAGATTCGCTTTCTGTTAACGTTGTAAGTTAGAATAGAGAAACTTCAATCACTGTGGCAAGCAGCCAGCTCATGAATAGGCTTGCTAACATCAACAAGACTATTCGTATGAACAAATGCTCAAAATGACTATGAGACTTCTTGTATATCCTTTGTAATGTTAAAATCAGTAGGATTACTGTGGTTTCTAAGTGCTCTCCCACATGGACTAAGAGCTGAAGTCAAGAAGAGTGCTCATGTGAGAAACTATGTAAGAGCTGCAGTTAAAGACTGAACGGGTCCTTTGTTTTCAGTTTAAAAAAAATAATATAGCACATTCTAACAAAAGAACTACCGGACTAGCAGATACCAGGCTTTAACTATAACCGAGTGCCTGAAGTTAGATTCTGACATCTATTGATCAAGAAAAGTACTACTGTCGCTGTGTGAACAGTTATTGGTTAACTACGTATGCAACTTTGCTTGAAGACCATGAGATTTCAAACTACATTCAAAAAGTATAGAACCGGGATGGTAATACATAAAGGATCTGTGAGAAAGGAAGCACTAGAACTAGCAGCAAGGTGGGGTTGCCTGCATGGTCAGCCCTTCATTTGAATGCAAATGTAATTTTGGGGCAGGCAGTTATCTGTGACATCAGGCAGGACCTTAGTAAACTGTTACCACCAGCACCTGGTAAAACCATTGTTAATCATGTGTAGTAAAGGGACATCAGGGCTAGCATGAGTCATTTATAGAGCCAGTCAGGGCTAGAAAAGAGAGAGAAAGAAAGAGGAGGGGAAGAGAGATCAAACAAACACTGTGAGGAGCAGGATGTCCCAGCAAGACAAAGCCGGGCTGTGAGCATCATGTATGTGAGTTATCTTTTGGATAAAGAGAACAGCATGTATCCAGGATCTGCAAGGTGCAGCAGCAACAACCTGCCAGTGCAAAACTTTGTGTCCGCTCCACCCTATTCCGATTACATGGGATATCATCATGTGCCAACTCTGGACAACCATGGACAGCCTGCGGGAACCTGGGGATCTCACTATGGCCCACAGAGGGAGGACTGGAACGCTTACGGCCCAGGACCTTCCAGCACGGTTGCTGCTGCACAGATCAATGGCTCGTCTCCTGGACAGGTCTCCTACAGTTCTGCTGATTACAGCTCCCTCCATCCTGCTGGATCTGGGGGGTTACCTCCTGTAGAAACAATTAATACACAGCAAATCTCTCCCAACAGCCAAAGGCACAGCTCTTACGAATGGATGAGGAAAACGGTGCAATCCACTTCTACAGGTATGAGGGCACTGAGGTTTTATGCTGAGAAGAGATTTCACTTTTTTTTTCAATAGTTGGGGTTTTTTTTGCCAGGTTCCCTCTTTAGAGGGAAGCATACAGTTTAACAAAGAAAGATCCTAATTACTCTGAAGGATTCTCTTGCTAGCAGTTAAATATTGGTTCGATTATTGGATGCTGGTTTTGGTCAGCTGACTATTTCTTATATTTCTTTCTTGACCTTTAACGCTGAGGCAAATGAAAAGCAATGTCCTTTGACAATGAAGTATTTTCACTTCAGATATGTTAAAAAATTTGTGATATCAAATAATTGCTTTTAATTGGAGTCCTATAGATTGGAATGAAGCAGCATGTCTGCAGAAAGAAATCACAATGAAAGTATTGTATTTCACCACCACCTATACTTTGCTTATTTTCCTCAAGTTTTAGAGTACATAAAAAAAGTTCAAGTAAAATATATACAGTGGGGGGGCTGGAAATAAGGCTTTGTATTAGAAACAACCTCTCTAAACCTCAGAACACTGAAATGAAATGAGATCTGCAAGATCAAACAATGAGTCAATGCTTTAAAAACAGGAATGATAAGGAAAGGCTTGCTTCACTTTGTAGTAGTAGCTCTCAGAATATGCAGGAATACAAAGATCCGTGGTAACACAATCAGTTAATACAGCGACAGATCAGTCTCTGATGCATAATAGTCAAAGACTACAAAACAATTCTTCAACCGTATCTAACCAGTAAAAATAAGTCATGAAGCCTGAGGAAAAGGTTCTGTTTGATTGTGATGAGGAACAATAGAAAAAAATATAAATATTGAGCATCCTTAAAAGAAAAATCTGTACCTTGTATGAATAGGAAAAAAGTTATGAAACAAGAAAGGGGAGAAGAAAAAGAGGGAAAACTGCCTGAAAAGAACAGAGGCACAATCTGCTATATAAAAGTATTTGATCCTCCAAGGTGCTGAGCAGCTTTGACACGCACTGAGATCAGTAGAAATTAAGGATGCTCAATACCTCCCCTAAAGAGATGCTCACGGTATTTCAATGTTACATCCCAGGAAGGTTCCTTTCCTTTCAGCCCTTCCTCCCGCCCCAGCTCCACATGCCTGTAAATAATAGTTTTCAAAGCAAGTACTAAATCAATCCCTGATGGGAAAGTAATTACTTAAAACATACTTTAGAAAAATGAAAGCAACTATATAGACAAATTGTCTTTATTAAAATAACGCATCTAATTTATATGGACAGACCGAGTCATCCTCACTCCTGCTGAACACAATGTTAGTTCATAGAGAGTCCATAGAAGTCAACAGGACAATCAGAGTAGGTTGTTACTCTGGGTGAAAATGAATTCTGGCAAATTTAAAAAAAAAAAAAAGAGTAGTTGGGTTTTTTAAAATCATATTTGTTCTTCACTGAGTACTACCCAAGAAAAAACAAAAGAGGGCCGATATAGCAAAAACTTACAGCTTACTTTTGAGTAGTCCTTACAAGGGCAAAGAAAATTGCTTACAAACTGTATGATTTACAGATGGCAGAATACTTGCTCAAAAAACCACTACTTCTCATCTCTTCTTTACCTACCTGCCTCTTGCTCCTGTGGATTTAAATTGCAGCCTCTCTGAGAGGAAGACCTGATCTGATCTGTCCATGCTGTCCCTTTTATAGTGGGGACACTGTGAGATAGAGAGAGAGAGAGAGAGATATAATAGACAATAACATTCTAACTGCCTGCTTAAGAAGCATGCTTAGAGCTTTCTAACCCTCCAAATTTCAAGTCTGCAAGGGTCAGATCGCTCACAGGAGGTGTTGGGAGTCTCTCCATTCTGGAATGGTCCAACAAGACATTGAGCATCTTCATCTCAAGAAGAATCGAAGAAATCAGCATGTCATAGGACCATATCCTCCCAAATGCCCATGGGCCAGTGTAAGGCCCTCTGAAGTTAGTGGGAGCCTATCCATTCATTTAATAGGTACTGGGTCGTGCTTTAGGGAAAAATCCAGATCAGTAATTTTCCTGCTGATTCTTCCCCTCTTACTTTTTTGCTAGGCCAGGAATGCTCAGTGCCAATAGATCTGCTTCACTGGAGTTGGTTCCTTTTTCTTCATTCACTCCTTTTCCTCTGTTTAAAAGCAAGGGCAGTTTTGTTTTTCCCCATTCTCCAAAAAATAAAATAATTTTTAAAAATTTGCCCTAACAGCAATGTCAGATCTAGCAATGAACTTAAGTGAGTTTGGTTCTGAGCATACAAGTGTTGCAAGTGACTTCAAATGCATGACTAGGCTAACTGCAAGCACCAGTGGTGTTTGCTGGATCACGACCAAAACACTCAGCATTTTCTTAGACGGAATCCATTGCTTTTTATGTCCTTAAAGCTGTATGCATACATTGAGCATTACCCTTCTGTCTCTTTGCAAAGCCTTTAGGAATTTCAGTAGAGGTTTTGTATAGGCAAGAGTGAAGGAATCACACCTATTATTTATTAGCTTTCCTTATTCCCTGTGAAATAGATATGAGCCAGTATTCTTAAAGCTGGAAAACCTGAGGCTCAGACTTACCTGAAGCAATCGGAACAGAAATTAATTAGACAAATTAATTTTATTATTTGTTCATTCTTGTTGCAAAATACTAGTTATCAATAATAATATTATTTCACTATGGAAACAATAATTATTAAGGCAAGTGATTTTTGCAAGATATTCTTGAAAGTGTGCAAGAAATGTTCCTGTAATCTTATCCCTTTAAGATCAGGAGAGATTCTTTCTGAAGGTTTACTTACATTGAGTAGTCTGACTTGCAACAGCTACAGAAACAAGGCCCAGAATCAATGACATTTCCATCTCCAGAGATTTCATGGTTAGCTTCTCTTATTGGTGCTTTGTGGCCTCATGACCTGACAGATGACAAACAAAACACTTTATTGAAATTTCTACCGCTGCCTCATGCCCTACAGGTCTTTTGATACTCTGTTATCTACACAACTAACCTGGAACAAAAGAAGAAATTATTTCAAGTCTTACTCTCTAACTTTAAAAACAACATCCAATATAAAACCATGTCTTCAACTGGTGTTAAAGTTAAGTTTATGCGGTTATGCTACTTGAAACCACTGGAAGATCTCAGTATTTAATGTGAGACTATCATCCTGGTCTAGTGCTACTGGAACACATTTCCCACAGAAAAGACCTAATAAGGCTTTCATCCATCATTCTCTCTCTGGTTGAAGGATGTCTGAATGCCTCTCCCTGCAGCTTTGGAACTGGAGGGATTGGGACTTGATCCTAAATGCAACGTGTGTAGGGTCCAATCCCTAGTTACTGCATTCTTGAGGGTGTTCAGGATACAGGAGAAAGCAAATCTGTTTTGACTCAGAATGCTTGAAGGAAGAAACACTGACTACTTACTATTTTCAACCAAGAACACCAATTGAAAAAGACCCTTCTCTAACCCTTATACTGCTCCTGTCCCCTCCCCTAAACCACCACTTCGAAAGGGCGAGCAAAGCCAAGGCAACTAGCAATTGTAATAGAGGACAGAACAAAGCCACGACAGCTAGAGATTTGAGGTGACAATTACACACACACACAGCATAATTACAGGCAAATTTTTTGATGGAAAGTAGAATAAAACCACCTTAGAACAAGTTACAAATCTCCTCCTGTTTATTTCAATATTTTTATACCACTTCAAAAGGGCGAGCAAAGCCAAGGCAACTAGCAATTGTAATAGAGGACAGAACAAAGCCACGACAGCTAGAGATTTGAGGTGACAATTACACACACACACAGCATAATTACAGGCAAATTTTTTGATGGAAAGTAGAATAAAACCACCTTAGAACAAGTTACAAATCTCCTCCTGTTTATTTCAATATTTTTATGGAGGTATGCAATCACTCACACAGGAGTAGACTTTACTTTTTGCCTTCATGAGAAAACAACATACATCTGTGGTAAAACTGTGCCCAAAACAATGAGTTTGAACAGTTAACTGCCAGGCAGTTCCAGCAGCAATGAGAATTTGCTCACAAAGCTGAAAGTACATCTTAAGATCTGCACTTACGTTACCATAAAACAGGGAGGGAACAAGTTTGAAACAGAGGTAAACTAATTATAAGCAGAGACTTTTCCCGTAGATGACAACTCTCCTATCATTCTTGTTCAATAAAAATTTACTCTGAAGACATAAAGACAGTTTTTCTGATGATGACGATGACAGGTGCTGATAGCATCATTATCAAATGCACTGTAAACGTGTAGCATCTAGTCCTTGAATGAAGAAGTTATATTCCCTCAAATCTAAGGAAGAGAAACAAGCCTCTTAAGAAGCCATTCCTGCAAAATGCTGAATGCCTAAAGAACGTATACCACTTGGAAAAAATTTCAGTTAATCGTTTGCTTTTTAGTCATTGGCAATGGGATTTCCCCTGATCTTGCCACTTAGAAAACCACCTACATTTTCTGCAGGTTGGGTCCTTCTGCCAAACAAAATCCATACAGGGCAGTCTGTCCAATCATTGTTTAAAGGTGATAAAAATGACTCTGCTTTGGATTCAATTACTTCTGTACGAATAGAAAAGTTTACACTAGCAAAGTGAAGGACAGAATTTCGCCAATGAGTCAAATACAGAATAGCAGAACAAATTCAAATTTGAAAACATTAGCATTTTAAATAGAAGTCAACAGAACAGAAGGGAAAATTCTTCAAGTCTGTTGAAAGGTTCCAATTCTACGACCCTATTCTGTTCTTTTCAGCATGAGTCATCCGAACATGTAGACCAAGAACAAATGGTCAAGACCCAGCAGAAAATACAAACACAGAATTTCACCATGTTTCACAAACCTTTATGCATCCAACTTTGCAATAACAAATAGTCCTACTCATCACACTAAGACTTCTGGCAGGAATATTATTACTCACATTATACAGGATTGGATCCATGTAACATTTGCTAATGGCAATACAATGGCAGTGTGTGTGGGGGGTTTTTTAGCTTAACT